ATCATTTGCAAGCAATTTATTATTAATATTATTATTATTTTACGAATTTCTACCGAATTAATCAAATTTTTTAAATATCAATAAATTTTATCATATTAATTCTTATATATCGTGCATTTGAAAAAAATTTAAGAAAAGACAAATAATTAATTAGATGTGAAAGCTAATAAATTTTTTCGCGAAAGATTCGCTACCGAGATGTATTTATTGACAACAGAGATTCAGCAAATGTTTGGTATCTACATATTTTCTCAGGAATGTTAATTGAATATAGTATATGATGGGATACGTTATTCATACATTAAGTTCGAAAACACGAAAGAGAGGATTAAATTATGCTGGTGTTAAGAATAGAAGCTAGGAAAAGTCTTCGCGACTCTTCCTTTCCATTCTTTCTATCAGGACGAAGTATGCGTTGCGGTTATTGCCGCTGTTAAAGTCCAAGTTGATGATTTTCTCGGGCCGGTTGCGCGGCAATACACTAGTAGGATACTCCGCCGCATTCTTCCTGCCTGTGTCTTGTCGACCGTCCGAGAATTAACCGCCGCGATACGCGGCGATACGAGATCGGTTCTTGCGGGAGTCAGGATCTCACGATACGACGTGTTCAAAGAATTTCCGCGAGTAAATTTTTCTGTCTGGAACAAGAAAACGTGACGCAGAGCCAGTTGTGAGTACTTAATCGAGCGGTGAGATATCCGCTAATGAAAACAACTTCCAGAGAATTAGTACATGTCGAATTGTGGGGTGGAAACGCATGTCGATCCAAAGTCGTTGCACTTATAAAAAGTGAAAATATGAACTTTCTATAGTAATCTCACCACATAGAGTTAATTATATAATAGAAATCGGAACTCTAACAAATTATTGTCATATAAATAAAATTCAATAGCAAGAAATTATTACATAGAAGCTCAATATATGTATAGAAGAGAGAGAGAGAGAGAGAGTTCTGCAGAACGATCATTGTTATTTTTAACATATAATTAGTTAAGTGCTACTAATAACGATCGAAATAGTTATATAAACATTTTAGATCACAAACAAGTTTTGTAGCATATCCATATCAATTAAAATTACAAATTTAATCAACCAAGAACATCTTAATAGTTTAAATAATGCTTAATGTTCCATGATATATAGATTTAATTCCATCTTTATAGCCTATCCATTTATTATCATATAATTGCATTTTATAGTCCCACATGACAAGATCAATTTTCTCAGAAAATTTAGAGGATAGCAAATATTCCCTCCTACTTTTCTCTCTCTCTCTCTCTCTCTCTCTCTTCTCACGAGTCTACCCAGTCTGCCGGCCTTCGCACGCCAAAGGAAGCGAAATCGAATGCATTCCAAGCTGCCGTAAGTCATTCCCGACAATATCCTCCTCTACTCGTAGCACCCTCGTGCGTGGGTAGTGGCGTTTATGTCGTACGATGGGCGGATTATGTTCCACAGCGTGCCGACAAACCCGCGAGTTAAAAAAAAAAACGAATGGATCGTACCGACGAGACCGTCGAGCCGCGCCGTCAATGAGATATCCACGTGCTAATGAAACACGACAACCGGCGCAAAGGCATGTCCGATCGCATGGCGTGGTGCGCCGCAAGCACAGCCACACCGGCTACGCAGGTTACGGAACGATGACAGCAGAACGAACGTTACGGGAAAGAGTGACGACCGGTTCTTCGCACTTGATTGCCAAATACACCAAAATAGAGATAAGGAAATAGAGATAGGATTATCATATATGAATGACTAGACGACGACTCATCGGTTATTTTTATTTACATACATTACTGCAAGAAACCCTTATATCTGATGAAATACGTATTTTCTTTTCTTCTCTATTATCAAACTTGACAATCGAGTGCTGAGAAACTATAGTTAAACCAAAAGAATAAGTATTCAAATTAATAATTCTGAATGCAAAAGTAAAAATAATTACTATTGCAATTATAATAACTGTTAAGTAAATAACAAACTATTTGTTACTCTCTATATTTGTTACTATATTATTCATTATTGATATTTTTTACATCATGCATTGGTTAGAAAATGTAAATTCTGTGTCGCAGAATTTATAGTATTTCTTATAATTATTCGGACTGTAATATCTTTTTTTATATTAAAACAAATGGGCAGGAGATTTTTCTAAGATTCAACATAATATTCTCTTTCACAACATTCAGTTTCAAACAAAATTTAAACAGCTAGGTTCATGAAAAATTGATTGTTCCTAATACTTTAATAAACATTCGTAAATTTTGGCACTTTGCGACTTTTTTTTATTCGAGTTTTCGGTTTGCCGTTAACGTTTCAGAAAGTTTCCGGTTCACTGTCGTATTTCATTAGCACGAATACTCATTGACGAGTTCATTACTCCGTTCATTCACTGTCGGGGCAGGTCGCTCGCCTCTCGCATCGCAAACGCAAACACTGCCGGTTGGAAGGAAAGTCAAGAAACATGTTTGAGCACGTATAGCGAGGTTGCTGCAATGGACGAGCGCAAATTGGTTATAGTAATTCGCAATGATTCATGGTATCTTGTGTTACTAATCCTGGACTTAGAGAGACATGAATTAAAAGATTACTGACTACGATAATTACATACAACGCCCGCATATTTATGTGAACTATATATACAGCAGTGAGTGCACGATCGGAGTTAATGCGGCATCGTAATATATACGATATTCTCCGTTTCTGCCCCAGAAGAAATCATCGATCCACGTATTTGACTCAATGCTATTTTTTAGACGGGCTTATGACAAATTCCAAGAGAAATTATTTTCGTTATGATCATGATATGAAGCGATATTTTATAGAACCACTTTTCAAGCAATTTTCTTTTTATTTTTCAAATTACAGCATTTATAATGCAGCAAAAACAATTTTTTACGTTTAAATCAATTATCTAAATCTTCATTAAATCTGTTATTTTCAAAGAAATATTTATTTAAAGAAGAATCGAAATTTTTTATGTATTGCTTTAAATCAGAAATTAAAATAAAAATTAACTTTCACGTTATATCTGTAACTATTCGTATCTTCAATTTGTATATATTGGATTATTTTATTCACAATCTTTATACTCGATCGTTCAGAAGTAGTTCTCCAAACATACCTATGAACACACTGATACGATAGTTCTGCGACTCTCGAACGTGTTTTTATACGACAAATAAAGAAAGGGATAGCCGAGAGCGAAAGAGCTTAAAAAGGAAAGTTTGCCCGTAAGATTATTGGCACAAATTATGTACAGTGTGTAAAAAATCTCGCGTAACGAAACGGCGAACGCTGTAAGCTCATTTTTACGTCGAAGCTGTGGCCGTGGCGTCGTTTCGGATAAAAGGTCTTGACTTTGCAAACTTGTCGGCGGCGGTTACCAAAGAGGCGGTCCGAGACGAGCGTGGGAGGACGCGAAAGGAGATCGGCGGTCGAGAACAGCCGCGAGACTTTAAAGTACTGTCGGGCCCGTATCTGCGAGTGATTCGTTTGGCCAGTTCCATGACGAAAGATCGAGTGACAAGCAAATGCGCCGACAATTTGCATACTCGTCCGTTACAATTACGCTTGCGTCGTCGGCGTGAGAGTCATCGCTCGTTAACGATGCCCTCAGGGAGACGGATTAAACCGGGATTGTGACATGTGACACGAAAGTTTGCAGCCCCAAGAACCGCATAACAAAAATATTCAGGATTCAATTCAAGCGAAAAACTGCATTCGCTCTTAATTATTCATCGTAGTCTTAGAAATATTTGAAAATTGAGAATTATTAAGAATCAAAAGAACAAAATTAAATATAATTTCATGGCAAGTGTAATTTCAATAAAAATCCAAACAATAATAGAGACAATTGATTGCGTAAAAGCAGAAATGAACCATTAAGAGAAATGTTCGGTCAGATTAATTAGAATTCTAGTTATAAATTAGACGAATTAGAATTTTTTTTTATTAAATCTTCTAGAATTCTTAGTTGAAATAATCAGAATTTTGATAGACAGTTTTTATCAAAATCTTCTGGATGGTTCATTTTCAATCAGACATTTTTCTCAGTGTGTTTAGAAATAAATATAGTTTCCTAAAAATAACTATGGATTAAATAATTAATAACTTGTCAAACGACAACTTATGTTTGTTTCAAATTAAGTTTTTTACATGCGGAATCAGTATTTTTCCTTGAAGCTTAATTATGTCTGTGCGGTAAGTTATGAAAGGATTATTGCGAAATAAGTCGCGAGTTAACGTGGAAACCTCTACTAAATACACGTTATGGATTTTCAGTACTTTGTTTAGCAGAAAATATTTCCGTCGTAAACTTCGTCATAGCTTCGGGATGTGAGACACGTATTCGCGCGAGCACGTGCACACCGGAATAACGTTACGCAAGTACAGCGGTTCTATTCACTCGCTGGAGTCTCTCCCCAATGAAACTCTTTCACGCGAGCATGAACGAAGTACAAGCATCGATTCGATGCACGAGTAGCGTTCGGATTTTTTAACAACCGACATGACAAGAAGTAGCCACTTTACAAGATATGCCGCCCACGCTACACTTCAGTCAGAATTTCAAGTACGGTGCGCCGCGCGAGTTTAGTCGTCGGTAAATCACGCATGCCTACATAAAAGCGTTCGTCGAGTGAGAGCAGCTGGCGTGCCGGTTCGGCAGAAGTAATTCGCGAGTTTTCCTAGATCGCATACCTCCGATAGACGGTCGTTCCGGAAGCGAAATTCAACCTCGCAATTTTCTACGCTTGTAAACAAGGTCATATTTTGTTAAGTAATCGCTAATAAATCTAGCAATATTTTGTAAGCACTCTACAAACAATTTACGTAACACTTTCTGATTAAAGATAATTTTAGCAAGAAATACTTTAAAATCATTATTTAAAAAAACAGACGCAACAATCGCTTTCTAAAATAATTGAAAACAGAGCAAATGAAAAAATTCCCGCTGCTGTATATAAAAGTAAAAATATATTGTGTAAATTACTTACCGAATCCCATTCGTACTTCTTCTTCGTCGTCACTGTCGATATGCTTGATTCCCGCCACTTCGAAGCTCTTCGCGGATTGTTCCTTTCGCGAGACGAGCGCAGAGGAAGAACAGTCGCAGTTATCCTCACCGCAGCTGCAATCGTCGCCAGCGCATCTGCATCCCAGTAACGGATCGTCCGTGTCTATATTCCTGCACGCCGGACAGGGGAAAGTCATGTCGTCGAGCGAGACCCTTTCAATTTTTCTCTCGACGGTGACAAGCAGACTGCCTATGTATGCCGGTAGATCCTCATCGTTAACATCGTCTGGACCACTTGCATTCCGCAATCTGTCCTCGAGATCTTTCGGTGAATCATCGACGATGTCGTCTCGCCGCAAAACGCTTTCTTCGAATTGCAGAGGACTCTTCAGATCTTCCGGTGCGATCGACCTGCTGCGCATTTCACACCTACTGCTCTCCTTCCATTTTTCCATTGTTGTAGGGGAGACCACCTTGGTGCATCGTTTCACTTTGGCGCGACTCTCGTCGCCGCCGGTGGGACTAGAGGAGGAATTCTTGGAACACGCTTTACGATTCGAGCCTCGATCGAGTTCGTCCTCGCCGCCGCCGTCGAGATCGTCCTTCCAAGTGTCGACACTGGACGCGGACCTTGACTTCATCACTGTGGCGGTATGACCGGACTCGCCGATCGCACGATTCTCGCGACAGAACTGGTGTTCCAGCCTGTCGATCGACCTGGCCTCTTCTCGGCGATGTTCAGCGCTGTTAGTTCTGTTGATCTCGCGTGTCCTCGGACGCGCGTCCTCGCGCGATCTTCGCCGCGGACGACCGGTGGTTTTCATCATGCTCGATGGCTGCGCTCCGCTGAGATTTGCGCTTGCCGTATTCGACGAGCTCGGCTGACCCTTATTTGTCAGGTCCCGCCAGTCCATAAACTCGTCTTCACGGTCCCAACCCAAGATCCCCGGGGCCCTCATGGACGTAGTTCGCCAGACTACTGCTATCTGCGAACAGCAGCAGTTTTGATCGTAACTCTCTCTTACTTTTATTGTCCATATGATTTACGTCCATATGTTAAGAATATTACGCTAAGGAATTTCTGATTTTAATATCAACGACGTTTATAATTTAAAATCAATTCTTCCATAAGAAAAATATAAAATAGTAATAATATCTTTTGCCAACTAAACTTCAAAGAAATAGTTAATAAATAAAAGAATATTTTACTTAGTTTTAACTGAATTTTATTTAAACTATATTTTACTCTAAATTTTTATTATAAAAATATTAGTAAAAATATTACAAAATTAAAAAAGGAAAATTCACAATTTCAACATTAAATTTATTGCAGGAAAGTTTATCATATTATTGTAATATTTCTTATCAAGTCTTTATGAAAGTCTTTATTGAATTCAGCCGCTTTGCGTAACTCATTGTCATGATAAATCAGATAGCTTGGCACATTTCTAAGAATACGGGAAAACGTTATAAGCGTGACAATGCCGCGTCGGCATTCTCAGATATACGTCCTTTATTACCCGGAGAGGAGCTTAAACGCGCATCTAATAATGCGCGTGCCATTACGCGCCTGCATCCGATGACTGTTAATATTTATGTCGAGGACCCTGTCGTACGGGAAGAACGCTGGGAATTCCGGCCGAGTCTTTTCGATGGTCGGAGGTGTCATTCTTTCGTGGTGGTACACGGAGGACTTCACCACCGGCGCGGCTTCCTTGTGAGGAAAGAGAGACAGAGGGGAGGGGGACACGAGAAAAGAGGGGAAAAAATGAAAAGAGACATGACTCACCTCAACGGTATTTTGCTCGACGGCTTCACCGGCGGTCGTAGCGCCGCTGACCGACGAGGTGATTGCAGTTGCAGTTGCAGCAGCCGCGCTGCGTACGCAAAGGTAACATTCCCCGAGACGCAGTGCGGACGCCTCGAGCTCACCCAGCTGCAGGATCAGGCCGCTGCCACCTAACGTCAGAGGCCAGCCCTCAGGCACCACCGCCTCGTTTCCCTGCAATCAGTCAAATGGATCGTGTCATATCTCGCGTCTGATCATCACGTGGATGCTTTCGCGTTAAACATCGTAATTTTCATCATGTTCCGATAAACTAAACTCTTCCGCACACGTTGGTTTTCGAATATTCCGCTGAAGATAAATTGACGTTTTCAAACTACGGGTAAAATTGTAGCTATTAATCGAAAGCTACGAATTAAGTTAATTTTTATAGACACATTGTACATAAAAGCGTGGGAGAAATTAAGACGTAGGAGAGCGGTACGTTAATCGCATTCATTACAGGATATACCCAGAATTAAGACGACGTGCAGCCAGTAACTATCCTTTCTCTGCTGAAAAGCATACGCTGATGAGCAGAAATTTAATCGGAGTCAAAACATTTCGCGCGCAAAGCGAAAGAGGATAGCAGAGTATTCTGCGCGGAATGTGTTAATGTTGAAGATTGCATCTTAAAGTATTTGTGCACGTCAGAATATTACAACATCGACACTAGAAAGTTTGACGTTAATTACATTAATGATAGTTAAGTCATGCAATACTTAGCGTGATTCTACATAAAAACTAATTATGTAACAATTGTGCTCACAAATAAAAAATCAAATAGTGAACAATTCTTTCGGACTTTAGTAATATAAAAAATTGAAAAATAAATCGATATATAATGTTAAACATCGAATTTAAATAATGTAAAGAATTAAAAAAAATAATGCTCTCAAATAGAACACGCTAACTGTCGGCACTATCGCGATGTTCATTTCTAGATCTTGGCAGGCACATCGTCGTGTTAATTTAATATCAAATCTTATAGCTCATATCTCCTCATCTTTGAAAGAGAAGAGATCGCCGAAGGTGCGAGACGACTCTCTCGAGTGCACCTTGCAATAACGCCTACATACATATGTCGACCGGCGACTACGTGACTCGTCGTGTAAGCAATTAGACGGTAGGATAGCGCAAATAAAGGGCGGCAACAGAATGCACACAACGTGCTTCGAGTCCGTAATTAAAAGCAAATGAAACGCGCCCATTCGGTCGTCCGCGATTTTCATTATCGAGACAGAGACACACGCACGACTGCATTCCAGGGGGAAATGGAACTTTATCAAATAGAGTCGGACGATCAAGAGACCATTCGACGACGATTCATCAATTCATTGACGCAAAACTAATTAACTCACGGCAAAGAGAAATACTAACATTGCGCGCAATGTAAAAGACATATTTATTAGATATTCACTTTTCTAAGTTTAATCCTTCTTTTGTGTTTGATTTATTTATAGATTACAGATAACTACATAAGTACAAATAATTTACGTGTATAAAAATTGATATTGAATTATTAACATATATATTGTATTTTCATACACAGCTTTTACTTTCTTAACATTTAATCGTTTATTAGTGTCTATAAAAATATTTTTAGTTCTATATGTAGCGTGATGAATAAATATTTCGTGTTACAATTTTTTTAATTTTGCAGTGCACTGTCTCTTTTCAAAAACGTTTGAATACGTAATTTATACAATATAGCAATTAGTGTAAAATTAATATGCAGTATATGGTTAAAAAGTCTAAGTGGTAGAATAAACTGTCGTATAATATATAATAAAACCACATCAGATAGAACATTTTTAATTTAGCGGGTATGTTAAGTTAGCACCCCAACTATAGTATTCAGGAGTTCTGATTAGAGTTCCCACTTCCTTTTGACGAGACGAAGAGTTCCCTATAGTTAATAACAAGAGTTCCACTCAATAAACATTTTTTTTTACATTTTTAAAAAATGGGGTGCTAACTTTTTATCGAATTTCGAGGTGGAATAGTTCTGAGCGGCTTAATAGCTTCAATTTGCGATTGCCTAAAGTTCCTGATATGTAAAAAAAATTTTCGAATATTAAAAAAAAATTAAAAATTTTTGAAAAATTAATTTTTAGATACAATAGTTCTGATGATAATTTCTGCTTCTTTTTGACGATACGAAGAGTTCTCTATGATTTTTAATGACATATGCGCTTAATAATCACTTTTTAATAACTTTTTTAAAATGGGGTGCTAACTTTTTAACGAAATTCAAGATCGCATAGTTCTGATCAGCTTAACAGAAGTATTTTGTGAATACCTAGAGTTCTTGATACATAAAAAACATTTTTGAAGAATAATAAAGTTTTAAAAAAATAGTAAAAATCTTTGAAAATTTTTTTGAGAGTACCGAGTAGTTCTGAGTAGTGTTTCTTATAGTTCTCGACGAGTTCTATCGAAAACTGTAAGGTGAAAAAGCGATTGGACCAACGGTTTGCAAGATACAGCGACATTTGTCAGAAGATCAACAATTTTTAGAATAGATATATCTCGGAAACCGTTGGTCCAATCGCTTTGAGCCCTGATACTTTTCGACAGAATTCGCCGAGAACTGTTCAGAACTATGATCAGAACTACTCGGTACTCCCAAAAAATTTTGACTTAAAATTTTTTTCCAAGTCCCACGTCGGAAAAGTTTTTGAGAGTACCGAGTAGTTCTGATCGGAGTTCTGGACAGTTCTCGGCGAGTTCTGTCGAAAAGTATGAGGGCTCAAAGCGATTGGACCAACGGTTTCCGAGATATATCTATTCTAAAAATTGTTGATCTTCTGACAAATGTCGCTGTATCTTGCAAACCGTTGGTCCAATCGCTTTTTCACCTTACAGTTTTCGATAGAACTCGTCGAGAACTATAAGAAACACTACTCAGAACTACTCGGTACTCTCAAAAAAATTTTCAAAGATTTTTACTATTTTTTTAAAACTTTATTATTCTTCAAAAATGTTTTTTATGTATCAAGAACTCTAGGTATTCACAAAATACTTCTGTTAAGCTGATCAGAACTATGCAATCTTGAATTTCGTTAAAAAGTTAGCAGCCCATTTTAAAAAAATTATTAAAAAATGATTATTAAGCGCATATGTCATTAAAAATCATAGAGAACTCTTCGTATCGTCAAAAAGAAGCAGAAATTATCATCAGAACTATTGTATCTAAAAATTAATTTTTCAAAAATTTTTTATTTTTTTTTTAATATTCGAAAATTTTTTTTACATATCAGGAACTCTAGGCAATCGCAAATTGAAGCTATTAAGCCGCTCAGAACTATTCCACCTCGAAATTCGATAAAAAGTTAGCACCCCATTTTTAAAAAATGTAAAAAAATGGTTTATTGAGCGGAACTCTTGTTATTAACTATAGGGAACTCTTCGTCTCGTCAAAAGGAAGTGGGAACTCTAATCAGAACTCCTGAATACTATAGTTGGGGTGCTAACTTAACATACCCAAATTTAGCAGTAAAAACCTCTGTGTAAGATATATTAATTCTGTCGACTTATTAAGAGTCATTCCCTAGAAGTAGAATATTTTTTTGGATGTGTAATTCAGCCCATATTCGCACGTACATTGAAAGAAAAGACTGACTACTGCAGCAAATTAGATGGTTCAAAAATGCTACGCCATATTCAACCAATCTTTTCTTTCAGCATAGATTATGAAATATATTAGTCCTTGTGTTAGTACAACTGAGGTATGTGAAGGCGTTTAATAAAATTGTGCGAAATTAAATCATTTGAACGCAGACAAAACTTTCTGTATTGTTTGTGATAAAAATACAATCACCATTATAAAAAAAACAAAGCTGTAACTTCACTTACTATATATATATATATATTTTTTTTTTAAATCTGTTAAACAAAGATGTTCAACGATGATATCAATTCCTGTGTTAATTCTAACTCTTGAAAGTGTACATACACGAATAAAAAATTATAAATTTCACAGGTTCGCTTTCTCATCGATTTTCACATCCTATTCATATCTCCAAAAAATTTTTAAGAAAATAAGTTGGAAATCATGCAACAAGGGGAAAGCGTAGCGTATCGCAAAATTTCATCGAGTGTCCAATGTCACACTGTCAACGGTCGAAGTCTCTCTCGTAGTCGCCTTCGCACTGATTAGTGCAAAGGCGACTACGAGAGAGAATGCAGAGGCCATGTTGTTTGACCATGACGCCGAGACGGACGTTTATGATGCGCGATAAGGAAACCAGAGGCCCTCTTGCCTGTCAACCAAGTGTCTCATTAGCGCGGTATAAACAGCGTATGAGAGAATGTATCTGGCGCCGAAACTAAGCGGCTTTCACTGCGTGATTTACCGATGTATGCACTGCCTTCCTCCCTCGATTTACGTGCGGCACACGGCTTGCCTACGCCGCACGCGGAAATCCTGTGAATGTTTTTAGTGATCGGCGGCAAAACGGAAGGTCCCGACGAGACAGCGGTCTAGCGAGAACCGGCGTAAATCAGACCTTATCGCCGCGGAATTCGCATTAGGCCGCTAAGTGCGAACGCTGGTGCGTTAAATTTCATCGCTCTCGATACGCGCTCGTTTCTCAGACGCGGGAGAGTTTATCAGTCGCCCTCACGCCGCATCGCCGTGTAATAATTTTAACGTTATCGGCGATTTTTCGCGCCGCGATCACGCGCTCCGTTACGCGCGACTAGTATGATCGCGTTGGTACCAACTGAGACTAGTTTGAAAGGTGCGTTGAGAAGCATTTCAACAAATTGGAATCGCTTACTTTCTTCATGCCAGTAAGCTGTAGAAGCAAAGGAGAGATATGAATCATAAACTTTCTATTCTTATAAAAAAAAAAGGCTTGAATAATTTAAAAAGAAATAAAGATCATTTATATTATCTTCGTACAAAAGCGAAATAAATTTCAAAAATGTTAATCAAAAAAATGGAAAAAAATATTTTCATTTTTAATATTTTGTATTTTAATATTTTATTTCAATAAATTACTTATATTATACATATGTATAATAATAAAGTAATTTAAAAAATACTTTTGCACTTTTAATGGTGAATTGGTGGTTAAATTTAATGTGCAGTGATAAGTTATATAAATAATTTTGACAATGAAAAAATACATTTTTATTCTGTTAAATACGTGCGACAATAATATTATTAAGTAATCGATTATTTAAAATAATTATATATCTTTATATTTAATTTAGTTAATTTTATGTATAACAATTTTTAACGTGTACTAATCGAGCGTAGTACCCGAAATCGCTATAAATCACACATACGCGACTCAGAAGCGATCTGCCTTCTTTATTTCGATTTGATAAAAGCGACTCGGTAAGTTTTCAAATCAATCATTAGCTGTTTTACGATCAGCATCATCCTAACTGCGGTCGTGCGGCGAGAGCAGCGCATGAAATACACGTTCTCCCTAAAGTGATATCCACTCGATCTAAGAAAAAAAAATTCGTAATAGACGATTAAACGAGAAAGATAAAAGGGAAGGGAGACACATAAGAGACTCGCTGACTGCCGTGCCGGATGCTGTCAAAGTGACAGACGCGTGCACGCGACGAGAGCTCATTAATCGGCTGCTGCACCACACGGCGGTCGATGCATTGACGAGCTTGCATCTACGCGACTCACACGAGAGAAGATACACGCACGCGAGTTGGAGTAGCACGCGCGGAAGTATCGGAGCGGATACATCGAAACACATTTTACAGCGGTCCGATCTGATGAAAGTCCGGCAAGACTGATTGCGATCTGGCTGCCGCGAGGAAGTGAGGAAGCAAGGAAGAGAAAAGGAGAGAGAGAGAGAGAGAGAGAGAAGGAGAGTGTGAAGGAGAGAAACGATTCGTGGACTTGTTCCTCGGACTCTGTTAAAAAAAAATGCGCACGCGCCCCGCCGACCGCCCGTGGTAA